AAATGATATCTAGAAATTAAGCAGACAAGTTTTTTATTATTAAATAAACCTGGAATGCAAAATTTTTCGAAATTTTACATATAAAATTTAGGTGCGTCAATCATTTGACACCATATTAAAAATGATCTGCACAACATCACGGCTGACTATTAAGAACTATACTTTAAAAGGATTGAATATGAGAACTCAGCTTGCCTTACTTGAAGATAGATATTCTAATACTCTTTTTTTGCTGAGAGATTTATCTAATACTATACAATCATTTAAAAAACATAATAAAATTATTAATGAAGCTTCTACTCTCCTTGAAATGTTTCTCAATAATAAGGCTCAAGATCCAAATTGGATTGTCCACTGGCAGTTAGAACTTATCTCTAATTCCTTAGAATTATTGTTTTGGATGGAACCTATCCAAGTTGAAAATTGGATTCGGTACCATGATATTATAATGAACGATAATACATATAGCACCAACCATTTCAATATAGCACTTAGTTTCTTTGTGGGGATTGATAATTACAATCGGAGTCATCTTGTTGCCCAAGCCTTAATGAATGATGAAACTCCTGAGAGTTTCGAATGGGTCCTTTCTAAGCTTAAAGAATCAACTGGATATCAACCACGTGTACTTATTACCGATTCAGATATTGCAAATGAAGCTGCCATTGAAAATATAATACCAGAAACATATCGAATGAACTGTATATATCACATTGCCCAGAATCTTCCTAAAAATCTAAAGAGTAGACTTGGATCAGAATGGGACAGTTGTATAAAAGATTGGTATAGGATGTGTAATAGTTTGTCAAAACAAGACTTTGAATTAGAGTGGAGATTACTGATTAGCAAATATCCAACTATAAAGTCATACCTTGAACGAATACTTTATAGTACTAAAGAACGTTGGGCACTAGCTTGGATCACAAATCAGTTTACTGCTGGAGCTCAATTAACACAATGGGTAGAAGGCATTAATGCCATTGTCAAATCTAATATTACAAGCAAAACTACTCTATCTGAGCTTGCTAGTGTTTTAGATTGCCATCTTGCCCAGGAATCAATGTTTATTCATTATGACAATTGGTCTAAAACTTATGTTCAACCTACCAATATAACAACATCATCTCGATTATTACCTGAAGTTGATAAATGGCTTGCTGAATTTTTAATGCCACCAGTTTTATCTTTACAAAGAGCAGAAATCGCAAAAGCTCTTTGGTATAATTCAACATTGGTTCCTAAAGAAAGCATTAATATTAATGAAATTAACTTAATACATGAAATTGGACATGACTTTTATGAAAATCTTGATGACTTTCCAACATCAAACGTTAATAAAATAGTTACAAATTTTTCTACATCATCAATTAAAGAAATTTGGGAAACTATTTGTTATCATGCAACTAATAAAAACTATGTTATCATATTTGAAGATGGTAGCCATATTTGCACTTGCTTACGACTCACCAACAGAG